ATCCCTGATTAGTGATCTGATAGATATCAATGGAGGCTTAATCCACGAGGCAATTCTACAAATGGATTTGGGGCTCTCACTGTCATCCATAGTCTTCTGCATACTGGGTGTTCAGAATTTAAGCTCTAATATAATTCCCTCCACTGATCTTGGATGTTATTATTTCCAGTCCTTGGATCACATGGGCTGATGTGCTCCTTCTATATGAACTAAGCTGACACCTTACTTAATGTTTCAACTTTAAGTCCAAAGGAATATTTAGTTCCTTTAATCTACAGCAGCTATGTTTAAGGGAAAGTCTGGTTCCCTTAGTGGAGTTTTCAAGTCACATAAATGTGATGTGGTCTATGAATAATGTTGTGCACATCAAAAAGACAAAATTTAAAATCCAGGTGGCTGATAGTACACAACTAAAGTTACTGAATTCTTCATATAATCCAGCTTCTCTAATTATTATTCCATCATACAGATTAAATAAATATGATGAAAGGATATAACCCAGATGCACACCTTTCTTGATTTTAAACCATGCAATATTCTCTTTTTCAGTTAATAGAACTTCCTTTTGATCCATGTGCATTCCATTCTTCTACTCATGGGCTGATTTTGAGCTGGTTTATAAATTTTTGCTATAGTGAAAAATGCTTCCAGGAACATATGAGTGCATTTGTCCATTTGTGTTAGGTTTCTTATATCTTTAGGTTATATAACCAGCAGAGATATTGCTGGATCTTATGGGATTTCCATTCCCATTTGTTTTATGTAGCACCATATTGCTTTCCACAATAACTGCACATGTTTAGAGGCCCACCAGCAGTGGATGACAGTTCCATGCCCTCTCCATGCCCTATCCTCATGATATCGCTACTCCCGGTACTCTTCCTGAAGGTTTTATCTGTCCTGAATCCCATGTGTCCAGAGCTCTTATCTGTACCAGTGTGTGTTCTCCGATCTATCCAGATTTGTAAGGCAGAACTGGGTCATGGTAGTTGGGGGGGAGGAAGCATTCAGGAACTAGAGGAATGATGTGTGTTTTGTCGGTGCTATACTGCACCCTGGTTGAATCATCCCTTCCTTATAACCCTTCTGTGGAGGGGTATCTGATTGTCTACAGATGGGCTTTGGGTCTCCACTACACCCCCCAACCCTTGTTCACATCAATATATTTGTTTGTTTGGGATCTTTTGATACCTGATACCTGATCCCATTGTATAGTGTCCATTCTTATCTCATTAGGTTATTTGCTTTGAAGTCTATTTTATCAGAGATTCATATTGCCACACTTGATTTTTTATTATTCCCATTGGCTTAGTAAATTTTTCTCCATCCTTTGAGTTTTAGTTTATTTTTGTCTTAGAATTTAAATGTGTCTTTTACAGTTAGCATATAGTTAAGTCTTATTTTTTAATCCAGTCTGCTACGCTCTGTCTTTTGATTAGTATGTTTAACCCATTGAGATTCAATATTGCTGTCATTTTATTGTGTTCGTGTGGTTTTTTTGTTGTTGTTTGGGGGATTTTTTGAGGGTGATTGTATTGGTATCTTTGTTCCTCCTCTAATTCTGTGTTATGTTAATATTAAGTGCTGCTTTTATTATATAGGTTTCTGGATACTTGTGTCCTATAGGCGACTCTCAGGTTTATTTGCTGTTGTTTTTAGTTAGTAATCTCATTAATAATTTTGTAATGCTGGTCTTGTTTTTATGAAGTCTTTTTGTTTTCCTTCTTTGGAAATTCCTTTATTTTTTCTTCACACTTGAGTGATGATCTTGCTGAATATAGGATTCTTAGTTAGCAGGGTGTTCCCCCTTCTTTCAGTATTTGTGGCTCCATTGTCTTCTTGCTGGCATAATTTCTACTGAAAAGTCTGAACCTATCCTTATTGGTTTTCCTGTGGAGGTGATCTGTTTCCCCTAGCTGCCCTCAGAATGCTTTCCTTTACTTTGAAAATAGAGAGTTTGACTATGATATGCTGTTATATTTTCCTTTTGGGATCTATTCTGTTTGGATTTCTCTCTGATTCTTAAAAAAATATTTTCTCCTCTTTTTATGATGTTGAGGAAATTTCTTCCATGATTTCTAGTCCTAGTTTCTCTGTAGATTTTCATTTGTTTTTAATGAGATGTAGGTAATTTCTCTTGCTGGGTTCCCACATCAATCTCAGGCTTTCTTTAGATTCTTTTGCCTTTTTTGTGGATTGTTTCTCTCATTGGCTGTAGTCAGAATAATTTTTGTTTGATCTCACTTATTCGATTTACTTTTCTTCCATTCTTCTACTCAGGTTTTTTACCATGTTGTCTAATTCTGTTATCTTAAGGTTTCTCTTCTGGCATTCCTTTTGGTGTAGCATTTCTAGTTTTTTTTCCTATTCCTACCACTGTTATTATGTACATTCCCCACATCTCCTAAAACCTAAACATCATTCTTCTGATTTCTATTTATGATAATTCCAAGGCCTCTTTTTCAGAGTGTTGTTTCTGTGGCATCCTGATGCAGTTATTCTGTCAGATATGGATTGTGTAGGGGTAACTGGCTTTGTCAAGTGATGTGGGAGATGTCTAATAGGAACTGAGAAATATGAAGTGGGGAAATGGGCAAAATAGGAGAGGGTGGATAAATGTGAAAAGTTGGGGCTGATGGGATGAGAGAATAAAATAAAAGTAATAGTCATATTAATAAAGAGCCATCTGGGTAGACAAGAATGTTTTGAAGAATAATGGGAGATTTTATTTTAAGAGGAATAATAAGAATTCATAGGTATTGAGGAAATATATTTCACTAGGAAAAGGAGAGAGAGTAGAAAGATATAGTGGATGGGGAAGGAGAAATGTGTATGCAAATAATCAGACCAGAAGAAGAAGATGTATTTGTGTGTGTGTGTAATTAAAAGAAGTAGAATTTTAAAAGAAAAAAAAAATAGAAGGGTTGTCCCTTTGCTAATATCATTCTGTCATATTTGCTCTATTTTAATAGCAAGTCTTTGCCTTTTTATATAGAATTTGGAATCACTTTGTCTATATTTGCAACAAACCATTCTAGAGTTTTTATTGTAACTGAACTACATCTTATGCAGAAATGTTAATATGACAGCCTGAGACTACTATCCTTAGAAAGACCTGCTTTCAAGTGTCTTAGACTGGGTTCTCTAGAGAAGAACAACCAGTGAAGATTATATATGTTAGGCTGTAGGCTTTTCCTGACTTTAATAATTCAAGGACTGGTAATATAAGCTCCACAAGAAGACAACAGGCTTGTAGCTGCAGCAGTGAATGATTGGCAGATTATATAACAGGTTGCTGAAGACTCCCAGGATTGGCAGAACCCCTAGGACCTGGGGGCAGGCAGCAGCCAGGAAGCAGCCACCACCTGAACTCTGACATGTCACTGACCCCACCTTGCTACCCAAGACTGAATGCAGAGTTTGCCAACAACCTTTCTTCTACCCCAGATCACATGCTTCTGCCCCATAAGATGGGGAACTACCTCAAATCCCACACCTCAGATGACATCTCCCTGTTTCACAGGTGAGTCTCAGTCTGATTCGGCTAACTTTGGTGAGGGGATGGAGCCTAGTCAGGAGCTCCCACTACCATGTCACGAAGAAGTTTCAGTTTCAGTCTTATCATCCAACCCCAAGCTAGACTCAACAACACAATTGACAGAGAGGAGCAAATTGGGATAGCTCAAAGAGTAGGCCTTATACAGCATCTGCCTAAAGGCATATATAACTCTGGAAGAGGTTGATCAGAGAAAAAAGATTTAGGAATATGTGATCTGTATGATAGACTTTGTTTCTGGGGACCCAATTTGATTTCTGCCACAAAAGCACATCTATTACTTGGGATGTTGATGAGCTCCTCCATATGCTCCTCCTGCATGGAGCCAGTTGATGCAGCACTGCTTTTGTCCTATGAGACTAATTGAGCCAGGTCTCTTTGTCTGACACTCGAGTGAACCATCATTTTTTGTGGTTTTTCTCTTTTGTTACTGAGCTCAAAGAACCATGCATTAGGAGTTAAGATCATGCACAAACTTTCCTTTAAAAATTCTTGAATGGCTGCAGATGTTGGGGAAAATACATGATATTTTAGAAACTTACTGGGAAAACTAGAATGATATTTTTATATAAAGCCTTGACCCAGTGTTTATAATTGCACTTAGATCTTGTTAGGAATTGTGTAAATTGTTACAGTAGCTTCATATGGTTAAATTGTGTGTTTTGAAGATTTTATTAGGGGAAAGATAGCAATTATTGTTCTCTAAATGAAATAAGTTTCATCTTCCTCTTCTTCCTACCCAAATTCTTTTCTGAAGTGGCTGGCATTTGGGACAATGTTTTATTAAAAAGCTACTTTTTATAACACTAGCGCACACAAAAGTTTAGTTTTAAAAAAAATCATTTTATTGGGGGCTCATACAACTCTTATCAAAATCCATGCATACATCAATTGTGTAAAGCATATTTGTACATTTGTTGCCCTCATCATTCTCAAAACATTTGCTCTCCCATTTAAACCCTTGGCATCAGCTCCTCATTTCTCCCCCTCCTTCCCTGCTCCCCCTCCCTCATGAGCCCTTGATAGTTTATAAATTGTTATTTTGTCATATCTTGCCCTGTCCGACGTCTCCCTTCACCCACTTTTCTGTTGTCCGTCCCCCAGGGAGGAGGTCACATATTGTCCCTTGTAATCGGTTCCCTCTTTCCTACCCACTCTCCCTCTACCCTCCCAGTATCGCTACTCCAACCACTGGTCCTGAAGGGATCATCTGCCCTGGATTCCCTGTATTTTCAGTTCCTATCTGTACCAGTGTACATCCTCTGGTCTAGCCAGACTTGCAAGGTCGAATTCGAGACTTCCATTTTCCTGTTTTGTATATTCTGAGTTTTAATTATTAATGGATGTTTGCAGATTTTTCTTCTCATTTTGAGTAATACCCCATCAGCAAATAAAGGTTTTGAAAGATTTGCTCCATCTACATCATTGAGGTCAACTTTACTTTGAATAGGCAACTCTTCCCCAGGTGTATTTTGAGTTTTTCAACCTGATGTGGTTCATCTTCTAGCACTATATGCAATAATGTTCCACTGCTATTTTTAAGGTTTTCAATGGCTAATTCCTAAGAGGTCTACCACTTCTTCCATCTTCTTTGTTTGTCTTAGTCTAGTGTGTCTCGGTTGATGCTGTCAATATTTGAAATAATGGTGGCATGGCTTCCGTCTTGTAGCAACATGCAAGCCACCACAATATAAGAACCTGACAAATAAGCAATAGGTGCTTGAAATTTCCCAGAGCATCGCCATTCTTCTCTAATTGGCAAAAGACATCATTTGGAGTCTGATGCCAAAGTGATGAAATACCCCATCTTTTGAATGCAAATTACAGGCAGTCAAGTTATTTGGTCTAGAGTGGTGAAGACTGATAGGAGACACCATTGCTCTCTTCACCAGTTAAAGGGCTTTCATTGGAGGATTACACTTGCTCCATGCTGCTCTAAGTGGGAGAACTTTATTAAGAGGGTATTTATTGTCTTACATTTAAGGAAGGAATTTTATTGTAATAGAACTGCTGATTTATAATGTATTGACTCCAATTTCAGTCGTATATTACCATTTGATACTAGCAAGAACCTAGGTAAGGTTTATACAAGTAATGGATGGCTCTTTCATTTACCCACAGAGACATAATCTTGAGAGAACTTCTTGCTTTCCATTCCTAACCTCTCTTTCTTTTTTAGTGTGTGTGGGTAATTACCTGACTTCAGTTTCTTGATAATTATGGTGGTAGTTACTAATGTAAATTAAGATAGCAGATATTATTCAACCAAGAGATAATATTTTGGATTATTCAAGTGAACCTTGAGGTCCTTGAATATGAAAGAAGGAGGCAGAAGAAGAATGAAATTTGAGAAAAATCTATCTATCAATTGGTATTTTTGAAGATAGACCCAAATCTCTTCTATTGAGTCAATGTTGACTCAGAGTGGCTGTGTAGGTCAAAATCAAACCTTGTCATATGGTTTCCAAGACCATAAATCTTTATAGAATCAGATTGCCACATCTTTCTCCTATAGACTGGCTGGTAGATTCAAATCACTGACGTTTTCCCCTTAGCAGCTGAGTGGTTAACAGTTGTGTCACCAGCATCCCTTTGAAGAGGAAGAGAGACACAAACCAAGGAATGTAGAGAGCCCCCAGAATGTAGAAAAGGCAAAATAGAGCACAGATCTACTGACATCTTGATCTGAGTCTGGCAAATTCTATTTGGGATGAATTTTGTAGTTTTAAGCCATTAAATTCGTGTTGATTGGTTACATCAGCAGTAGGAAACTTATACAGATTTCTGTAAAGATCCAAGACCATACTCCAGGAAAAGTAAGAAGTTCTTGATATTTCTGTTATTCAGAAACTTACTGTGCCTATTACTGAATTGTTATCCATCCAGTTCTGTTAATAATATATCCAATTGGTATCACCTTATCTAATACTTCAAATTGACCTATTTTTATGCTATCTAGGCCCCAGTAATAAGAATAGTCTGTAGAAAAATGGAGACCTGATGAAGGGAAGCTTATATAAAGAAGAATGCACTTAATATAAGGAAGAATTTGCCTTATACCCATATTAGGGGGAAAGTTCTGTTAGAACCATTTCAAGGTAAACTGAGCTGCATTAGGTGATTCTGTAGAGCAATTCTGCATTCAAGTTATGGTGCTGGAAAAGAATATTGACCGTACCATGGACTACCAGAAGAACAAACAAATCTGTTTGGAAGAAGTACAGCCATAATACTCCTTAGAAGGGAGGATGATGAGACTTTCTCTCGTGTACTTTTTCTATATCATCAAGAGGGACCAATCTCTGGAAAAGGACATCATGATTGGCAAAGTAAAGGGTCAGCAAAAAGACAGAGACCCTCAACAAGATGAATTGATACAGTGACTGCAAAAATGGGTTGAAACATAACAATTGTGAGGCAAAGGCATAGAAGGTATAACCAGACACACTAGCTCAGTAGTTTCCACATTCATACCAGACTCCTAAGTGGCCAGGACTAGGAGCTCCACTTTCCTTAATGCTATACATACTCCAGATTGCAAGATATAGCTGGATATGATTTTGGATCTGGGCAAAAACAGATTCGTTCCCCGTTTTGTATATTTATTCAGATGACCTTTGAGATGAGTCATGAGACACTGTATTTGGCTGTGAAGCTGGTCGATCATTACTTAATGGAGGTTGTATGCAAGAGAGACAAGCTACAACTCCTTGGTTCTACTGCCTTTCTAATTGCAGCAAAATTTGAGGTAAGTCTAGTCCAAGGGTTTAGAGATAATGAATTTCTAACCAGAGCAGTGCTTTCTAAACTGGGCAATGCCACCCCCTGAGAATACTGAAACAATCCAGGTGGTTGTACAAGCAGATATCTATACTTTATTCTGGATTATAGACTACAATACAAAAGTTTTTCATTGCTAGGGGGACATTTAGTTTTTTGTTTGTTTTTCTGAAAAGGGCCAGATAAGTTTTGGAACCTACATTCTAGAGAAACAAAATTGTAAAGATGAGTTTTCTAAATTGGTTTTCAAGTATAATTAGGCAGGTGCTGTTAATCCATGGCATGAGGTGGCAAAATTAATACCCCAAATAGCATCACCAACAGATGAAGTGTTGGTGAGAAGTGAGAATCTAGATGATTGTGTGTTCGCCATTTTTCTACAGTATTGTCAGGATGAGAAGAATAGAGAAGCTGGTTGGTTGGTACTAGTTACAATAGATAAACTGGTAAAGGAAAGAGATGACCTCAGGGTTCTGGAGGGATGGCTCAAACATCACATGAAAGGCTGTAAAGCTTTCATTTTCACCATGAAAGAGAGCCTTATCTCTTCTAGTAACAGAACTGATAGGGCTGAAGAACAAACTCAGAGTCTTATCATACAACTAACTGAATTCAAATGCCAGCTTAATCCTCAACCTAGAATGATATCTGATGTTAAAGTGAGGGCATTAATTGGAAAGAAATGGGACCCTGAAATTTGGGATGGGGATATAGATTAATAACCCAGAAAATAATCCAGAAGACATTGGGCACCTACATTTCATCGAACTATGTAGGCCCCATCTGAAGAGGTTAATGCACTCTCAATAAAACCATTGCCTCTACCTACACTTGAGGTGATTAACCTAATTGTGCATACACCTGGGACTTTTTCTGGAGTATTTCCCCAGGTAGATACCTTAAAAGGTATTGTTGCAATTTCCCAGGAAACATCCTCACCACCTATTATTGCTTCTAGACACATAACTAGGCTTAAGTCACAGTAAGTCCCTAAAGGAGAAGTCCAGATGGGAACCCAGGAAGAAGAGCATTATACACCTAAAGAACTTCCAGATTTTAAAAAATACGTAGAGACAGAAACCTGGAGAATATGTGTGGGAATGGTTACTAAGGGTATGATCTAATGGTGGAATGAACATAAGGTTGGATCTGTCTGTGTTTGTTCCTATGGGCCCACTAACCGCAAATTCATTCAGTGTTTAAGCTTGAGAAGTTAGAAGAGGGTCTAATAATTTATTTGGTGGGAAAATTGGTGACAAGGTGGTGTGGGGAAGAGGTATGTAGATAGACCTCTGAATAGGCCAAAGAAGTGAAGATATTTGTGTCTCATGTGAATGATCGCCAAAGATCACTTTTGCAGAGTGATTTTAACAATCAAGTGGCTAGTATAACACATTCTGTAGAGATTAATCATTGTCTTCTCCGAGCTATTCCTGTCAGTGCCAAATGGGTGCATGAACAAAGGAACCATGCTGGCAAGGATAGAGGTTATGTGTGACTTAGCAACACTGACTACCACTTACCAAGGATGACTTGGCTACTGCCACGGCTGAGTACTCAACCTAGCAGTAACAGAAACCAACACTGAGTTTAAGATATGGAAACATTCTTCAAGGAAATCAACCAGCAACCTGGTGGCAGTTTGATTACATAAGACCAACTCCATCATGGAAAGGGAAGCATTTTGTTCATACAAAAATAAGCACTTATTCTGGGTATGCTTTTCCTTTCTTACATGCAATCCTTCTACCAAAACTACTTGTGAACTTACAGAGTATCTTATCCATCAGCATAGTATCACACACAGCAACACCTAGTAACAAGAGACTCACTTCACAGTAAATGACCTTTGGTAATGGATCCATTTTCATGCAATCTATTGGTATTACCATGTTGCCCATCATCCTGAAACAGCTAGTTTGATCGAATAATGGAATGGCCTAATAAAGACACAATTATGGTGTCAGCTAGATGATAATACCTTGCAGGGTTGGGGTAATGTTCTCTAGAAGACTGTGTATGCTCTAAACCAACATCCAATATATGATGCTGTTTGTTTAATTTCCAGGATTCATGGGTACAAAAACCAAGGGAAGGAAATGGGAATGGCACCGCTTACTATTATTCCTAATGTGTCACTCAACATTTTCGTTTTCTTTCCCTGAGATTGTATGAAATTTGGGTCTGAAGAGCTTAGTTCCAAAGGGAAGAATACTCCCATCTGGAGACACAGCCCTGATTCTATTGAATTGGAAATTAAGACTGTCTCCTAGACATTTTAGATTTCTCACGCATCTAGATCGAAAAGAGAGGTGTTACAGTGTTGAGTGGTGTGATTGGTCCTGATTTCCAAGGGGATATTGGATTAGAATTGTATAATGGAGGTAAAGGAGAATATGTCTGCAATAAAAGAGCTACCTTTGGTTGTCCCTTGGTACTACAATGCCCTATAATTAAGATCAATGGTAAACTACAACTCAATTCTGACATACTAATGGCTCAGACTTTATGCATAGCATCAAAACACTGTCTGATACTGAAGGCCTAATGAAAAGAGGCAGAACATTGTCATAGAGAGTGCCAAAAGATGAGCCCCTTGGAGCATAAAGGACTCAAAATATGACTGAGGAAGAGCTGCCTTATCAATGTAAGGTCTAATATAACGATGTGAATGGATATACCCTGTGGAAGTAAGGCCTTTGAGACTTTCATTTACTGATGGGGCATGACATGAAATGAGAAGAAGCAGCAACAAAATATATGTTAATAATTGAAGCATGGAATATATAAAGTATGAAACTAGGAAAATTGGAAGTCATTAAAAATGAAATGGAATGCATAAAGATCACTATCCTTTCGTATTAGTGAGCTGAAATGGACTGGTATTGGCCATTTGAATGAGAAAATCATGGTTTACTATGCTGAGAATGACATAATAAAGAGGAATAGGGCTTCATTCATCACCAAAAAGGATATTTTAAGGTATATCTTGTATTACAATGCTATCTGTGTTTAAATTATACCTGTCTGCCTTTGATGAAACCCAATCACTGCAACTAATATTCAAATTCAGGCATCTACCACTAAAACTAGTGATGAAGTGGTTGAAAAATTGTACCAATATCTTCAGTTGGATAAAAGATAAAATCAAGATGCATTGATAATTAGTGGTGATTTTAATGCAAACAAAGAGGAAGGAAAGAGGTTGGAAAATCTTGTCTTGGTGATAGAAACAAAGTTGAGCAACCTATGATAGAATTTCAAAAGACCAACGAATGACTTATTCATAGCAAAAACCTTTTTTCAACAACACAAAAAACAACTATACACATGGACTTCTCTAGATAGAATACACAAAAATTCAAGTGGGACAAGATGATGGAGAAGCTCAATATATCCGCAGCTAAAACAAGGCTATGGGCTGACTGTGGAACAAATCATCAACTGCTCATATGTAAGCTCATGTTGAAGCTGAAGAAAATTAAAACAAGTCCACCAGAACCGAAATTTGACCTTGGGACTACCCCACCTAAATTTTGAGAACACCTTACGAACAGATTTGCTGCATTGGACACTAATGAGAGAAGGCCTGATGAGCTGTGGAGGATATCGGGAACATCGTTCGTGTAGAGAGCAGAAGGCCATTACAAATACAAGAAGGAAAAGATCAAAGTCAGAAGAGACTCAAACATGTTCTTCATCTTAAAGTAGCTAAGGCAAATGAACAAAAGGATGAAGTAAAAAATCTGAATAGAAAATTATAAAGGGCAACTCTATCATACAGAATAAAATATCACAATAAATGTGCAAAGACCTAGAGTTAGAACACCAAGAAGGAAGAATATACTCAGCATATCTTAAACTGAAAGAACTCAAGAAAAACAATTCAAGCTTTGAGTGACATCAAAACAAAAACGAGGAAAATACAGTCACTGTACCCCCCCCAAAAAAAAACCCAAACAAACCACTAGTCAACATGCCACCATGTCAGGAGGTAGCATATGAGCAAGGACCAATGGTGCTGAAGGGAAAAGTTCAAGCTGCATTGAAAGCATTAGCCAAAAACACAGCTCAAGGAATTGATGGAATACCAATTGAAATGTTTCAACAAGCTGGTCAAGCACATGAAAACTCACTTGTGTATGCCAGGAAATTTAGAAGACACCTCTGTGGCCAACTGATGGGAAAATATATAATATTTGTACCCATTCCAAAGAAAAATGACCTAACAGAATTGTTCTCAAATTATTGAACAATATCACAAGCAAGTAAAATTTTAACTGAAGATCATCAAACAATGGTTGCAGCAGTACACTGACAGGAAGCTTACGTAGGTTCAGGCTGCATTGAGGAGGACATGGAGCAAGAGATATCATTGCTGATTTTAGATAGGTCTTGGCTCAAAGCAGAAATTACTAGATATGTTTACTTGTGTTTCATTGACTATGCCAAAGCATTCAAGGGTGTGGTTCATAAGAAACTACCGATAGTCTTGAGAAGAATGGGAATTTTAGAACACCTAGTTGTGCTCCTGTATCAAGAGGCAGTTATGCAAACAGAACAAGGGAATGGTTTATTATCAGGAAAGGTGAGTGCCAGTGTTGCATCCTTTCACCACACTTATTTATTCTGTATGCTGAGCAAATAACCAGGGAAACTGGATTACATGAAGAAGAATTCGGCATCAGGATTGGAAGATGTCTTATTAACCACCTGCAATACCCAAATAACAGCTTTGCTTGATGAAGGTGAGGAGGAAAAGAGGCACTTACTGATGAAGATCAAGGATTGAGGCCTTCAGTATGGATTACAATTCAATGCAAAGAAAGCCAAAATCTTCACAACTGGACTAATAAGTGAAAAACAAACAAAAAAACTAGACACTGCCATAGAGTCAGTGCTGACTAATATGATTTTCCAAGAATAACTGTTTATAGGAGTAGAAAATCATTCTTTTTTAAATTAATAAATCATTTTATTGGGGGCTCTTACAGCTCTTATAACAATCCATACATAAATTGTATCAAACACATTTGTACATATGTTGCCATAATCATTTTCAAAACATTTTCATTCTGCTTGAGCCCTCGGTATCAGCTCCTCTTGTGGATCTGGTGAAGTGCCAAACCCTGTCCACTGATTCCAAAGTCTTATTTTCAGGATTCCTTGGGGACTTCATTGTTTAGAAAGCCATTCGTGGCTACTGGTTTCAAACTGCTGGCCTTGAAGGTAGCAGCCCAATGAGTAGCCACTGCACCACCAGGGCTCCTTTGGACTAAAAGGTAACATCATGATAAATAGAAAAAAGATTGAAGTTGTCAAGGATTTCGTCTTGCTTGGACCCACAATCAACACTCACGAAAGCAGCAGGGAAAATATCAAATGGTGCATCGGGTACATCTGCTGCACAAGACCTCTTTAAAGTGTTGAAAAGCAAGAAGATTACTTTGAGCACTAAGGTGCACCTGACTTAATCCATGGTATTTTTAGTCACCTCATATGTATGTGAAAATTGAACATTGAATAAGGAAGACTGAAGAATTCATGTGTTGAAATTATGGTGCTGGTGAAGAATAGTGAAAATATTATGGATTGCCTGAAGAACAAAAATATGTGTCTTGGAAGAAGTAGAACCACAGTGCTCCTTTAAGGCAAGAATGGTGAAGCTGCATCTCATGTGCTTTGGACATGTTGCCAGGAGAGACCAGTTCCTAGAGAAGGACATCACACTTAGGAAAGCGGAGGGGCAATGAAAAAGAGGAAGGCCCTCAACAAGATAGATTGACAATGTGGCTGTCATAAGAACCTAAGAGCAATTGTGAGGATGGCACAGGGTGGGGCAGTGTTTTCTTGTACATAGGGTCATTATAAGTCACAATTCTGAACTGACTTGATGGTACATATTCACAACATATTTGTTTTGATTTCTGGATGATGTCATGTGTCTTAGTGTCCTGTTGTTGTATTTTGTCATTGTTGATTCTCTAGGAAAGGGGTGCTCAATACGTCAATCGCGATCTACTAGTTGATCACAAATGTAGTGTAGGTAAATCACATGGCATTAAAAAATAGACGTAAGCCTATCATCAATCCTGTCACTTAATTGATATACAGCGCAGCCAATCAGATGTAATCTTAGGTGTTAAACGCATGCACAAACAACTGCACTGAGTGCAACAAAACTGACAAGCTAAGTTATCACCAATTTTCAGACCTTGGCTTTTTTCTCTTAAATGTAAGAAAGGGTATTAAAATGAGTTGAGGAGCTGGACCAAGTAAGAATACAAAAATGTATCACTTTCATACGGAATGGGAGATTTTGACACTACAAGCTGACATTCAGCTGAAGTCCAGAGCGCATGAACAGTTCTGAAACGTACAGAGGCAAAGTGCCCAAGCATGAGAAAATGTGCTACCTTCTTGACTGCATTATTCAGCTCTACTTATTTATGTGAGTCAG